CAAAATTTTGTGTTTTCTTCATACAATATACTGATATTTCTTTTGACGATTGCGATGGTTAATGGTAGAATTTTAATTTGCTTACTCTTTCTTAGAAAATTTTGTTCCGAACAAATTGCTCCGCCCTAATGTGTTTTTTTTTAATTTTAATTTTTTTCAAGCCAGGTAGCGACATAAAATTTGTTTAAATTTTTTAAGGGGTTCCCACAACCAAAATTTAGATGTTGATATTTTTAATAACCAGCCTAATGTACGCACTTATATCTGCTTACATATTTATTCAATTATTTAATATCCTACTGAATTTTTGAATAGACAAAAAAAAAGCCGTTCTTACCTTTAAAATAGAGGCCATTTCATTCACATAAATCCGTTCTGTCTCGAGCAGCTCGGTGAGTACGTGTCCTCGGTGTATACGTCGCGCTTCAGCGTCCTGAAAATAAATAAATATTATTATTAGAATGATTAAAAATCTATGTGGTTGTGTGTGTTCAAAAAAAATGTGGTATCGAGATTTACAAATAGAACTTTTAGAAAAAATTGTTTGCCACTTTACCTGCTGATTTTGTATATGATTTCCGCTATCTGGACTCGAACGGTTAGTGTCACCATTTAATGACCCAGATGATGAGTCAATGACACCATCCATTGATCTTGGTCGCAGTTCATGTATGAGGTCAGCCTGAAAATATAGAAAAATAGGAAGGGTAAATTAGAAAGGAAGTACTAATAAAAAGTATGCAAACAAAAATTTGTACTATAAATAGTGATTATAGCTTTTCACACCTGTATTTAAATCCCCATTGCTGATTATTTATTTAATTATAGCAAATGCAGCCTTGCTTTTAAAAAATAACTCAAATAACTGAGATATTTAGTTGAAAGTATCTTGCGAAACAATTGAAAGATGGTAGGGGAGATAATTTGAAAGATTTTGTTTATTCTGGCACGAAAGTCTTACCTAAAAGCTCCCCTGCCAACTTTCATGGTGAAAAGCTCTTTTGAAAGAAAACACTTGAATATCATTTTTCTCCCGCTGCCCTAACAGTCGCAATGGCCGAGTGAGAAAAGCATTGGCGTGCCATTCGAGAAAACCGAGGTTCTAGTCCTCTGGCAAAGGATTTGCGTTGTAAATTTAATTTTCTTTTAATTTTTAACCGACTTCAGAAAAAGGGAGAGAGGTTGTCAATTCATCGGTACATTTTTCGGTGCATGTTACTGGAAAACTTTGGATTATGTGATCTGTTTTCAAATATTACTTTTTTTTTGACGGAAAGGGTGTAGCTCAAGGGTGGCCCCGTACCACCTTGGTTTACTTTCGATCATCGTGTCATGAAGAAATTAAGGGTACTCCTAAATTTGTATATGGGTATTAAAGTCGGGTTTTGCTTAAAAATTACTTGTGAAAAGAAAAACATATTTTTTGAATTTCTTTTATTTACTTTGTCTTCATTTTTTATTTAATAATTTCCTTGTTTAATTAATTATTTAGATTTTATTGCTTAAAAAAGTATTTTTTCTGTATTTCATTTAATTTTTGGGAATTTATGTTATTTATTTTTTTCAAATTAAATTTTTTTATTTTTTTAAATTTCTTTGAATTATTTTTTAGTTTCTAGATTAGATTTTTTCAAAACAATTTTTTTGCACTGAAGGTTTGGGAACTTATTTTTATTAAATTTTTTTTTTAATTTTCAGATTTTATATTTTTTTAAGAACTTTTTTTCTGTAATGTAATTTAATTTTTAGAAACTTATTTTATACTTCTTTTATTTATTAATTTTTTCTCTTTTTTGTCTGTGCGAAGTTGAAAGTCAGTTACCAGAATTGCCCTGTTAGCTTTGAGTTAAACTTATGTTCCTAAAAAAGTTGAGCTAAATATTGTTAACAACAGCACTTTCTACGAATTTCTTGAATAACATAAACATAAAAATGTAGCTTACATATTTAGTTCCTCTACGTTTTTGCTAATCAATGGTCACTGCAGAAATTTTAAAATGTCATTAGAAAACACATATTTATGTAACGGGTGATTTTTTAAGAGCTTGATACCTTTTTTTTTAAAAAAAA